GGCCTACACGGATTCAGTTTGTGGAGGCACTGGCTGCACTTTCCTGTCTTCACAGAACCGACATGGGCCGGAAGATCGAAGGGACTAAAACTACGCTGGCGAAGCTCCTACACAATGTCACAAGTGCAGAGCAGCTGGAGTGGCTCTTCAACAACTTGAGGTACAGGCAATTCTTACCACATCGAGTTCGTCTGCTGCTGCCTTCAGGCACTACTGCCAACGAAGCACTCCATGCAGAAATCAACTCATGGTATCGACAGACTCAGCAGATGCACCGCAGCACATTGGTGCAAAAGCTGCAAATCCAGCAGCTGGGCAAACTATTGGCCCACAACATTGCTTTGCACAGCCCCACAGCAAAGCAGATGCCAAGCTCTCATGTCCTCTCACAGCGAGTTGGAAATCCTCTATGGTCAGCCAAAACCTGGCAGTCGGACATGGCGCAACAAGCATCAACCTTGCCATTGAAAGCTCGCAGAAAAACAGAGAAGGAGCTGGTGGCAGAAGCAGCTAAAAAGCGTCCAGCAGCAGCTCCAAGGCCGAAGGCGCGTGCGAAGCGCACGCCATTTACTTTGGAGCGCAAACCCGGTCTCCTAAGGAGCGGGGTGCGCAAAAGAAACTCGATGTGACAGGTGAAAAAGAATTGCGTAAACACTGCTTGCTGTGCTTGTGCAAACACAAACAACACTATCTTTGGACATTGGCACGCTGGATTAGACTTAACCCTTCTACACTCTGCGCGCTCAATACACAAGCAATTAGTATGTACTCTCAGCGATCAATATGTTGCTTTCTCCCGGCCCTACCTGCTTGCTTGCCTGGTATAGAGGGAACCTAATCTCTATGATTTGCTGGATAGTTTCTTGGCATCGCGCTCCGCATCTGGTTCTCCAGTTTCAAGTCCAGTTATGGAACTGGAGCAACAGCCTTGCTATTTAACGTCTGCGAAGTATTATTGTGCTCTTTTGCTGACAGGAAAAATGGGCGGGTGCTGGATGTTGCACTTAGAACCAAAGCAAATGTTGTCTTGAGAGCTCCCACGACTCATTGTACCTATTTTTCCATGCCTCGGGGGGGGGGGTCCATAAGATTGATTTAATCAATTATTTGAGGTTTCTGAGGTGCGTCCACCCCGTCACTTAACTTGCTAAAGCAAGAGCAACTCCAGCTAGCTAAGGCTAGCTTTCGTGACAAGTTGAATGCAATCCCAGACACCTGTGTTGGAGACAACTGGTCCAAAGTTGCCTCTCGGGATATGTGTGCCGCCTGTGCCACCTGCAAGTACAAAAGTTCTCAAGACTTAGAAGTCATTGACAGTCAGCAGGTCTCTCTGACAGCTGGGTTCAAAAACCCATGGGTTCCGATCGCCTGTCACATTCTTGGCCTTCATATTCTGTGTGCCGTCCTTTGCATTAGAGGAACTGACTGGCAGTGCGTCTTTGGGGGAGTGGCAATCTTCCGAGATATTTGCAATGTGTCGTTCCTTTTGAACAAAGCATCTTAGGGTGGAAACCATCGCTACTAGAGCTGGAAAAAAACAAAAACTTGTACGAAAATCATGATCCCAACAGCAAATCGTGCGGTTTGCAAGCGGTCTGACTAGGCTGGAGGCCATCGCTAGTAAGTTGGAGGCCATTACTCTTAGGGCGGAGGTCATCTCTACTAGGTTGGAGGCCATCACTACTAGGTTGGAGGCCATCGCTCTTACCAGCAGCGTCCCTCTCCTTCTTCTGACTTGTCTCTGTCTCGAACGTCAGCACGTCATTCACAACCTGAGAGAGGCTCAGGTTCGCAAGCACTCAGTTGGCAAAGGGCATTCTGGCTGCAACAAACTGGGTTGCAGGAGACACACCAGAATCGCAAGGAATCTGATGGAAAGAATAGGGGACGTTGGGGGTTGTTCTGCAACTGAATGTGCTTGAAGCTCTCAGCACGGAACTGGCCGTTGAGAGTCAATGCAGTCCACGATGTGAACAAAGATATCATCGTCTCAGATATCATCGTTCTGTGTCTTCCCACACACCACGTTTGAGTCTTGACAAAACATGGAGATGCCTGATCAACGCCAACAGTAGACTTCAAGCGGGTCGGCACCACTCTAGTAACTTTGTGTCTGAGTTTTCAAGTAAGTGATCACGACCAGTTTCTATGCTGAGGCAATGACAGCCTTCAACCTTATCGGGGTCAATCCCAACTACAGGCGCACAGATTGCAGAGTCTAGACACACCTGACTGGACCCAGGCCGTTTGGATATCATCTGTGCAGCCCAGATTGCACTGTTGTTAGTTCCTAGCTTTGAATGATTGGAAAGGTTCAGCTCCGTACATTCACGAAGCCAAAGCCTTTCTCCGTGTTCCACGCCTGCCAAGCTTGGATTTGCAATGAAAAATGCAGAGCATGTCGAGCTAAAGAACCCGAAAAAAGCTGGACTTTCATCACCTTCATGGAACTTCAAGGCTTGCTTGCATTCTCTCTCTTATTCGCTGCCTTCACAACCCCTTGGTGACGTACTCCACTTGGCAAAACAGCACCTTCCACAGACTGGTCTCGTGACAGGGTATGGTCATTATTATCCCACACAAGCAATAGTGTTGGCGTTGTTTTTATTGTTGCTCTTGCTTTTGCTCTTGCCACTGCTTTTGTTGTTGTTGCTGTTGGTCTCTGGATTCACCCCACCCTGCCTGGTGTTGGAAGTGGTGCCGCAGCGGCAACAACTGATGGAAATCCCTCCACACCAGCCACACCAGCCACAAGACCTTCTGTGCCCGTCATTGTGGCTGGCATCATCCCTGGCATGCCTGAAACCAGCCACTTGGAGTCAACTAGAGCGAAAAGAAACCATCGGTCTGAGTCTGTCTGCGACATGCTAAGCATGTCAAACTCAGTCAGTAGGCTAACTTCCATAGGGGACAACTAACTTCCTAGGGGGACAAAGAACTAAGAAACTTTCAAGTATTTGGAAGTTCCTCTTGCCTCCACAACCTCCAACACCTCCACAGCCTCCAAGTGGCTCACGAGGGGCACTGCCTTGCAAAGGAGCCACAAGTGAAGGAAGGAACCTGGAAAGGCCCTGTCCTTTGTCATTATCAACTAAGGTATCTTCGAGGATCTTATAAAACTTGGCCAGATCTCCACCTTGCCCTTCTGTCTTCATGTTGCTTGTCGAATCCCCCGCATTTCCAAGTCAGTCCCATGCTTAGAGGACTTCAAGTCTAAGTTTGAGGATTTCAAGCCAATCAAAAAGATCAGATCACTGGTAGAATGATTGAACCATGTTGAATCTGGCAAGGAACGATCTTCCAGAACCCATTGTATATGTTGAAAGCCTATTTCCTGATACGTCGGAGCTGGGATCCCGCCAGTGGAGTTGCCTCCGAGCACGTTCTTGGCTTGCATCTGACCAGGTTTATTCTTATTCCTCAGAGGCAGCTGACAACAGGATCTTCAGACAAAACTGACGTGTCTGCAGGTCTCCATAGAAAGTAATCAGCACCAAAGAGGTACTTCCGTGGCTGACTTAGCTAACTGGATGCTGGAGTACATCCGGAGTACATCTTCCAAGGCGCTGCTCCATGTCGAAGCTCAAGACATCTCCCTTTGCGGGCTGCCTATCTCCCAAGCAATCCTGCGACGACCCCGCGTTCCGTCCCGGTGGTACTGATTTGATCGTCGGAGTTATAGCCAGTCTCATGGAAGAAGCGTTGTCATGCTTCGTCTACACGTCTACATGTTCCATTTAGCTTTTCGCGGGCATTCTGCTTCGCATTGGCAACATCATGATGCTTCAGCCTTCTTTTTGAACAGCTCAACACAGCAACAAAATGAACCGGCAAGAAGTCGCGCGGGAGACCTTGATATGAACGAAGATATCTGTCCCGCCAAAGTCAATGAATCCCCAACCCTTCGCACCTGAACTGTCGCCGTAATATCTGTCGTTCAGTGACAGTGCTTTTTCTCTAGTAGTGAACCTTGCTCCTAGTAGCGATGCCAGGAGCCCCTAGTAGCGTCCTTGCTACTAGTAGGAAGGCCAGGAGCCCCTAGTAGCTTCTTGTTCCTAGCAAAAAGAATTAGCACTTGTTTTTTCTCAAGTTCAGTGCTGACTCTAGTAGCGTCCGATCGCTCCTACTAGTACGGCCAGAGCCCCTAGTAGCGAACCTTGTTCCTAGTAGCGATGCCAGGAGCCCCTAGTAGCGTCCGATAGCTCCTAGTGCGTGCCTCCCAACTTTCACACTCAAATGCCATTCAGTAGCCGTTGAATGATTTGCATACGCCCTGGAGGGACATAGCGAGAATCTCCTCCTGAGATGCGGAGTTCAGTAAAGGTCTCAAAGTGTCCAACGAACTGAACTGTCACTGTGCCTGATCTTATTCATTCATCTTCCGTTCTTAAACAAGGAGGAATGCGAACTCATTCTGCCGAGGGTCTTCGACTTCTGGCAAGGATGATGGGATTTGATAATTGAGGCAATCACCCACTCTGAAAAGTGTGACCGGTCATGGACAAATAGAGTCTAAATTGATCTTGAAATCCTGCGATCCTTTGAGTATGTCTCTGAGGTATTCAAACCGCGAGCTTCTTGCCTGTTTCTCTGTTCAATTCTCTTCCAAAGTCTGATTACCACTAGCGAGTCAATCGGATTACATGGGATTTTCATGTTTGCTGATGTTGGGCCAGGAGCGGTTGCCTTCGCCCACTTTGGAGCCCCAAAACCTCTCACCCTCCGGTGGGGTCCCTCGTTGCCACAGCCAGGTGGCTACGAAGCTGAGGCAACTTGAGCCAGCAGCTGCCCAACCACTTCTAACTAATTGATTTTGAAAGAAACAACCAAATGCCCAGAAACCATGGTTTATTCCAACTCCCTTCTCTAAATCCTGCCGTCGTTCTGCTAACGTGTTCTAAATAGTTCTAAAACTATTCTCAGTGGTGGACACATTCACTTCAGGGCTATCTTTGCTTCACAACTGCCAACAACCCCTTCTAGGGCTTGATATCTATCGCCTCAATTTCTGCTTCAGCACCAGCCCATCGAATCAGTTCTCGAGCCACAAAAGCACTCACCTTAGCGAAGGATCAAAAATCGCATATACATATACATATACATATATATATACATAGGTTCCTTGTGCTTTAAGGGTAAACTGACATGTGTAGTTTCATGGTTGGATGATTTACGCTTTGCAACCGGCATACCATGCATACCAATCTTTGCGCTGAAGGAGCTTGTAGCATCCGTTTCACTTCATGTTCAAAGCATCAGGACAGTCTTAACCAAGAATCAACCCATCAACTAATCGCGCGGCCGTTTGGGTCCCTCGCTGCATTAACCTCACAGGTGATAACCTTGCCACCGCCTCCAAGTCTCCTGCCACAAGGTCGGGATCGCAAGAAACGATCCCGATACAGAAATGGGACGAAACCTATCAAGTACACACCCCGAGGTTCCTGAGCCTTTGCACCATCAGCAAGGCTGAGAATCCAACGAAGCATCCGAGCCTCAGGATCAGAATGGGATCGGCAGTCTATTCTGTTGAGATTTCAAGGTGGAAATATGGGCCACACTGCTGTGAGCCACTGTCACCACAAAAGTGGCCAACACTGCTGTGGTCTTCCAGGATTGGTACAGTAAACCTTCGAACCCAAGATCCACATTTCCTTGCCATTTCTAAGCTCAAGACTCCAGAATGCGATCTCCTGGTCGGAGAACAGCCTAGAGGCTGCACGTCTCAGCTTGACAATCGGCCAACTGCTTCTGATTTGGATAGGATCCTCAACCCAACCTGCTGCGGCTACCACAGCCGTTCTACTGCTTCAGGCTGTGTTCTAGAAAAAGGAAGGGATCTGCATGAATGCTACAACTCCACCTGTTCCCCCCGGGGTGTCCACCGGAGTCCCCAGAGCTGTCACCGGCCTGTAGAAGGCGAGCCTTGCTCCCCCCAGCCACCTTCAGCCATTCCTTCTCACCTGCAAAGCGCTTCACTGTCGCCAGTAGTGCAGAGAGATCTCCGCGAGGGACCCGCGTCACGATGAAATCCAACAAGGAGAACTCCTTGGACTGGTGCACTCGGTCACGTCGCACTCGGAATGGAGGCTCTGAAGTGAATCCAGAGACCTTGGCGAATCGCAGATGTGCTTCTTTTGCCAAAGAACTTCCAAAACAAAAGGAACTGACTAGAAGAGACTAGAAGATCATTTTGTCTACAACATTCTACAACCTACTGGTCCTAGTGGTCAACCGTTCTGTCCTGGAAATGGACGAAAGATTCCAAGCGAGCAACCTCCATTGCCCACATCACGCTGCACCAAACTTCCCCCAATCTGTCTCCTTCGATGGGACCAGACAGCAGCTGAAGCGCTTCTTGCCAGGCTCGGTCATGGCCCATTTTTCGAGCTAGGCAGCTCCATGGACCGGGACCAGCTTTGAGTTCTCTCTTCTCTCTGGCCCTCAATAGCCACCATAGACCCAGTGGCCAAGGACATGCAGTAGCAACAGCGCTGTAGCTCAAAGCATCTGGCGTCAAGGGGAGGTTGGATCTGGTCTGGTCTTCAAACTGCTCGAGCAGGCTACATGCCAATTGCCAGCAAGTTGCGCGCTCTAGGGCTGTCAGGGTTGCATTGAAGGCAACCACATTTGGAGATGGTTGTGAAGCAGATATCATTTGAGACCAAAGAGCCAGGGCGCGTTGCCACCCTGATTCTACTTGCCCGCAGGCAACAATGGCAGAGCTGTAGGAGAACGCATTTGCTTTTTCTGGTAGCTGTTCTGCTTCAACTAGGAGATTTAAGACCATTTCCCACAAGGATACGCGTTCACATGCGGTCATGGCAGAACTGTATGAAACCACGTTGGGCTCCAGATGCGCAGCTCTCGGTGCCTCCAAAAGTGCCCAAAGCGCAAGTTGCCACTTTCCAGCACCGCTGTAGGCAGATCCTAGAGAGCTCCAAAACACCACGTCTGGTGGCCAACTTCGCATGCTCAGCTCATCTAGCAACAAAGAAGATACTCTCCACGCAGAGGCCTTGGCACAAACACTGGCTGCTGCAGAGAAAAGGACCAGATCTTGTGGCCCTGCGAAAAGCAAACTCAGGGCTCTCTCCCAGTCACCAGAATTCCGTCTCAACCTGGCGATCGCAGACGTGCGACGGCGGAGGCTTTCCTCAGGACCGTGATGGCTTTCCTCAGACTGCACTCTGGGACTCGGCAGTGGGCTCTCACTCCGAACTGGGCCCAGAGCGTCTGTTGGCGACCGATTTCGACCACCAACCCAATCTGAGCGACCTCGTCTGGCATAGCACACTCCTCAGAACCGAATTTTCTCAGAACCGTCGAGATCCGCATTGCTTTTGAAACAACCATAAAAAGATAAAGTTGCATCATATGGAATCTGTCCAAGACGCTGGAGAGTCGACTAGCAAATCCTGCCAGTGAAGGCCATTTACTGGCCATTCCATGGGCATCATGTGGCAGTGTGGCGAGAGCATGTCCCTGTGGAAAAAGTATATAATCCGGACAAAAGGTCCACAAAGGGGGGAAATGTCGCGATGTAGCTTGCAAATCTCGAGAGTCTCTACAGTGTGTGGGCATTTGCCTATTCTGATGAATGCTCAAGTGCCGCTGGAATGTATATCCCCAACAGCCAGAAAAAAGTTGGAGGAAACTCCAAACCACAAAAAGAAGTTGGAAGGCTTTCCTGTCTTTCTTGAGCAACGACTGAACTTGAGGACTGTCAAAGAATGTCAAAGATATGCGCCTTTACTTTTTAGTTGAAAGTTATTGACCCTCTAAGAAAAACCGCTCCTACAATGAGTTTAGGCCCATCTCTTATGCTTTGCCAGTTTTTCACCTGACTTGTGGCTGGAGGAGTCACCACAACCCTTTGACCTTTGCCACTTTGCCTGTCATTTTGCTAAGTGTGCCACTTCCAAGACTGAGACCTGAACGCGTTCACGCCAAATGTCCGGCACCGCCGAGCCGGGCGGTTCTTGCAAAACGAATCGAAGAAATCGATCGATACAAAACGGATCCTTGAGGATTTAATGATTCGTGGACCGAGATATATCATATATCTAACCTGTTGGAAGAGAACTGGAGTGAACATCTGACTGCGAGTTGCCTCCTCCTGCAGACGATGTATTTCAGCCTGGCTGAAATGGTCCAAGCCACATCAGAAACAAGTTCAAGCTCTGAACTGCATACCCTCCGGGCTGAACTGCATGCCAGATGCCATCATGTTCTCCGCGGAGCAGCATGGGCAGTCTGCATGCCCTGCAAAACCAATCAATGCGCCTGTGTGCCAACTTCAAGTGCCTGCCACAATCCAGCTTCCCAAGAATCCCCATTGTAGATTTGCAAGGGTTTCGTCGCGCAATAGATAGTCCCCAAACCCAAAAGTGGCCGTAGTATAAAGTCCAAATGGTGTTGATTTATATAATCAGATTCAAAGAAGGTGGAACGAACATTTGCAAAGGATGTTCTCGTGTTTGTCTGTCTATGTCTGGGGAAAAAGTGCCACTTGTTGCAGCCACCCCATGCTTGGTAAACAACACTGGCGTATAGATTTCGCGGTTTCTGTGGTCAGAATACTGTTGTTTGTAGGCATGACTTCCGTCAAAGAACCGATGCAAAACCGCAAAGGCGCCTGGTCAAACTGGTCGTTGGCCCATTGATCAGCCCTGAAAGACTTGGGCCAATGGGCAGAAGACCAAACACCACTTGGGAAGACACATACACAAATGCAGGGAAGTAAGAACTGGTGGCTGCTTTGGCGCGCCGGGATACCCTTAGCTTACTTTGGTCATCTGCCTGTGTCATACAATCATCATTCATCAGCCATGGGTTTCCCGTAGTATGTCATGCCAGCAGTGAGAAGTCAATAGTACCGCAAGCCCAACATCCAGATTGTCGAACTGCTGGCCAGGGCATTGACCGCTCAAGCCATACGCTATGCAAATCCTCTGTAATGCAAAACACATGAGCCGAACCGCCTCAGCTCTTCTCGCACTCGTGCGAGATCATCCTCTGCTAGCTTCAGATCAGACCTGAAGCTTTGATCCTTCCAACCTTGCTTTACAAGTTTACAACGCCAATAGCAAGATTAGAAAGCGCTGCACCGATGCTGAGCATGCCACGCATATTTAAGAATGACAAGTATGGTAGACGGTAGACTGCTGTGATGATGCATCATGGTGATCAATATGACTGTCCTCGAGCATTTATCAACATACAGCCTCTACTAGGAACAAGAAGCTACTAGGGGCTCCAGGTATCGCTACTAGGAGCAAGGATGCTACTAGGGGCTGGCTCCTTAAATGGTCGATATGGATTCCGTTTTCGCGCAGCAAGCGCCGGCGCCGTGCGACCAGTTGGTGACTGGTGACCGGCGACCGGCACGCGACCGGTTTGTTACAAACGCCAAAGTGGTATGGCAAAGGGTTGCAAATGGTGCAATGCAAATAGAGGATTGGCGAAGTGCTCAAAGAAAGGTGCAAAAAGTGACACCAAGGCGCTTCAGCTGATCTCGGCGCTCACTGGTGGCCTTGGAGGAACTACCTAGCTATATGCAAACACCACCAACACGAATCACCTCACCTTGCAACAAACCCCTGAGGCCACTGAGGACGTTCATGTTTACATGCAGCAGTGGCGATTGCAGTTCCTTCTAGAATCTTGTAAAGTGTCTCCCAGCTTTTGGGCTTGGACTGCACAGTGCTCGCAGACTAACATTGGGGTCCAGACCGTAGCAGAGACATGTTCCAACAAATCCATGGGTGAACCTGCAGGTTCAATTAATTTGAGGCAATCGTCTTCTACATCTCGTGGCCACGTCTCTTGGTCTGGGGTGTGTGTTGAGCAGTCGTCTTCCACACCTTCCAAAGCTCGCAAGGACAAAGCCTTGCTCTGCCAAGGCACCTGGAAACTTTCAGTGCTTGGAGTTGTTTGAGGTTTCTCCCCGATAGCATATTCCCACTTTGTTTGGGTATATAGCATTGTTGTAATCTTAGACATGTCATGATTTTCTGTGATTTTCATGAGCAGCAGTTATTTGTGTGGACATGCAACTTGCTGCAAGCCTCTTGGTCTGCCGTGCTCTCTTTGGACGAACCAGGTCCGTCTGTCCTAGCGTGCTGTCGGATGGTGCTGGTACCACTAACATCTGAATTGCTTGTGGCGCTGACCGTCGCACCCGACATCTGGTAGGACACTGTATCCAAAGGGCGCATCATGTGTATATCAGTGCAACGGTTGAATGAAAAAATAAAGAAGCAAAAGAAAGAAGTGGCATCATCATTTTGCAGGAGGCAGAAGGCAGAAAACAAACAGCAACAGAAATGAACAATGATGCAGCAATGAAGGAAAATGATATGCAGGTGGAATTGTCCTAGCCATCGGACTGCCCTGTTGGGACAGTAGATCTTGCAGCTGGCGGTGGATCTTGCGCGCCACGCGGAAAGAAAGGCCAACACTGTCATCAATTAATAAGCAAGGAGAGGTCAATGCACACCAAGTGAAAAGAAAAGAAACTGTTGTCCAGAAGCAAAAGGCTGAGCCTGAAGGCATTTGTGCGTCTGCATAGCCAGGCGGTTGGCATTTTCTTCCTGAGTTCTGCAGGGGGGGATGTTCAAGAAGGTAAGAAAAATGCATGTTTCACGACTTCAATGCGCACTGCAAGCTAGACACTGTCGTTTCCTGTTCTACTTTCAAATTAAAGGTGAGGCTTTTACCCTGAGGGCTGTCACAAACTTGTCTGGAGAAAGTCGATCAAAACATTGCAACAACTGAATGTGTGTTGTTTTTTGCAGGTGACTAGGCGTCTCACGAGCCAATCGCGGGCCTTTTGGAAAGTCTCACGCAATCGCAGGACATTGTTTCAGCCGGGCGGGGCAGAAAAACAAAAATGTTTTCTAAACTCAAATTTGGAGCAGTATGACAACTCAAAAGTTAGCCACAAAAAATAACATAGCAGACTATTACCTCATGCATTCCACAAAATCCTCACTACCTCCTATATCGGCATCTCATTATTGCCCGTTGATATATGTCGTCAGGTGAGTGAGTATGTTGGTTGTTTGAGGTGTGAATGGATGAAGGAGAGAGAAAGAGACTTCTTCACAAAATCCGCCGACCCCACACCGTGGGGTGAGGCGTGACTGTCGATGTTAGCCTTAGCCTTAAGCCTTAGCCTTAGCCTTAGCCCTAGTCCTTAGCCTTAGACCTAGACCTAGACCTTACCTCCCCTACCCCTCCGGACCCTTGTTGCAGTTACGAAAAACGCGCCCTGAAAGCAACCTGGATTGTCCAAGAATCTGCCATCCCAATTGATTTACATCTTGGGGCACCCTCTCGACCCGCGCGGGAAAATAAGCACGGTCCAAAATGGTCCTGGGCTCGAATCCCGGGCTGGTCGCGGCATGGTCCGGCCAATGCCCTTGCTTTTTTTGTAGATTTTATCACGTTTTCTGTTGGTTTATGAGATTTTCAAAGGCTTTTCTGGCATTTTCCTAGGAATGCTCTAGGCTTTGTCTTTTTGGGTACCTGCTTTGGTGGTGCTGGGTTGGGTCTAAATTGGTAAACCTGGGAGGTACCCAAAAAGTCGACTTTTTGGGTACCTGCTTTGGTGGTGAAGGGTTGGGTCTAAATTCTTGGGCAATGATCGGGGTTCATGCAAGAGCTGACGTCCGATGGTAAATCTGGGAGGTACCCAAAAAGTCGACTTTTTGGGCACCTGCTTTGGTGGTGCTGGGTTGGGTCTGCACTCTTAAGGCTAAGGCTAAGGCTTAAGGCTAAGGCTAACATAGAGCAAGGCTAGCGCTAAGGTTCTATCCCTTGGGGGTCGGCGGCTGCAGGCGGTAGCCTGGTAAATCCGGGCGCCGGCCACGAAGCCCGTGGCATGCCCGGAGGGCCTTCGGTGGTAACCGAAGGTTATAGACGGTCGCGCCGGCTGCCGCCGACCCTCCACCCAAAACGGGGGGACGACCGGTTCACTGAAGCCCCTGTAATTTACAGTGTATCGTGTGTGTGGGGTATAAAAAACACTGTGTTTTACAGGGTTTATTGCGCATATCGAAGTACGACGGGGGGAAAAAGGAAAAATGCAAAAATGCTGTGTTTTTCAAGGGTGGTGTCGGTAGTGCGCGCCGGGCGGACAGGCTTAATCGACATTTTGTGGGTAGAGGCCCTCCAGACGACTTACATTCCTGACATATCCTCAACATGGGCCCAAGATAGCCAACATATCCCCAACATATGCCCAACATAGCCTCCAAGATGGCTCAACATAGGGCCAACATGGGGCCAACATAGGGCCAACATAGGCCCAACATAGCCCAACCCAGGCCAACATAGGCCAACATGGGCCTAACATCGGCCAACATAGGCCCAACATAGGCTCAACATGGGCTCCAGATGTGCCCAACATAGACCACAGGGGCCCCACTTGGCCCAACCTAGGGCCAAGATGCGCACCAAATAGCTTAACTTTGCTCCATATAGGGCCCTCGTCTCCGACGCGGACCAGTTTCCGGCACCACCAGGGCCCAGTATGCCCCCGATAGCATAACGTGCACCCGACCCAGCCCTACACACACCCAAGTGGGCCGGCGCCCGGCTGTTAGGCGTAAGCCTTTAAATATACCATGGTTGAACAAAACCAGACTTACAGCTAGCTTTCCAGAGTTTACAAGAAGCAAATATCTATTGAGATATAAACCAGTTTTGACAAAGACTTTAAGAAGGCAGTTGACAGACTATTAGATAGGCGAAGTGTGAAGGACAAGTACATCAACAATAAGATGACACTACAAGCACTTCAATCATGTTGTAAGAAGAATATGTTTGGTATAAAGTATGTGTGAGGAAATGGCATCACCCAAAAGAGTTTTAGGAGTTGTTTAGGTATTTTATTACTGATGAGATGTTTATGTGTAGAAATAGGGAATACGGAATACGTATGCAAATTGCGGCATTCCGAAGATCCACAACTCGTAGCCATCCGTACAGCACTCAAGAGCCCCCTCGGTTTCTTGGAAAAAGGAGTGACCACTTTCGCGCTGCCTCCTTCCGCTCGTGTTTTTACTCGCATGGTAGCGGTATAGCCTGGTTCATCCAGGTTTGTGGACACTGAAGTCCAGCGGCGACAGTGGAGATCCGGGGATGGAATCTCTACCAAGAAGTAAAGATGGGGTTCCGACCTTTGACGGGTCGGCTGAACGTCTTGCGATGTTCAAAGAAGAAGCACGGGCATACTTGTTCACCCTTGAACACCACAAACGCTACTTGGCAGGTCCCAGACTGGGCCAAGGTCTGACAGGTGTTGCCAGAACGGTGATCCGCAAGAAGTTGGCTCATCCGAGGAGGGCTTATGACCTGATACAGCACTTGGAGCAGACACTGGGACAACCAACTTTGATACAAGCAGCTCAGCACAAACTGCGGCTCGACGAGATGATGAACCTTGAGCTGGAGCCAGTGATGGGGGACCATTCGATGAGAATGGGGGAGAATGCGTGATGATGGAGAAGCCTCAGAAGCTGCTGATCCGTGGGCTCGAAGAGAACCTGCTCGCTCTCATGACTGGGAGTGGGATTGGAAGCATTCAGAATGATCTGGATGGCATGGGAGCGCATGGGAACAGTGAGGAGTATGAACCTCCAGCTTCTTGGCACACTGAGGTGAAAGACTTCCTTTCAGAACACTTGACAGGATTCCTGCTGCAACGAGGATTGGATGCCAACGAACGAGCCAATGTGTTGGCAGCGATTCGAGGCCAGTGTTCAGTTGCGACGGTGGAACGAGCCCTCAAGGAGCAATGGTCTGACGAGGACCTCATGAAGAGGGACAAAGCTCACTACAGCGCACATCTGGCTTGGGAAGATGATGAAGAACAAGTCTTGCTGGCAGGCGAGTTACCGCCTGATCCCGACGATGAGCCCAAAGCCTATGCAGCCTTCATGGACGAGCAGAACGTGATTGACTCGGCCCTGGAGGCCATCAAAGAGAAGAAAAGAACCCTGCAAGAGGCCAGATGGCGTCGGCAACAGGTCCGCAGCGGCCGCAAGTTCCATAGACCAACAAGGGAGGTGGAAAGGGACAGTTTCGACATGGAGATCGAGATCAAGGACCTCAGAAGTGTCTCAAATGTGGAGGACCTCATCAAACCTCCAACTGTCCTGTGCCCAAGAAGCCTCAGGCCAACGTGACCGAAGAGGCTGAACTGGCTTTCAGGGCAGAACATGAGTCGCTGTTGTGTGAGCAAGCTCAAGTGTCAGCTGAGGTGTGCGAAAACATTCGCTTGGGAAAAGGGATCATAGACTGTGGCGCCACCGCTACCCTAGGCTCGAGAGACTTTTTAACATGTTAAGAGGACTAGTGTTGGTTAAGGATTTGCCTTTGTTGTTGTGTGTTGTTTTTTGTTGTTGTGCTTTGTTTTGTTCTATTTTTTGGTTGAAGTTTTGTTTTGGGTATGGAATGGATGAGGTGATGATGTATTGACTGTTATGATTTCTATAACATGGATGAGGTAGAGATTGTAGGTTGTTACGATTTTTGAGGAATGAATGAGATGGTGATATGGTAGGTAGTGATGATTTTGTGGAATGAATGGTGTAATGATCTGTTATGTTTTTTTTGTGGTGAATTGTTGAGTTGTTATACTGCTATAATTTGAGTGTAGAAAACTTCTTTGAACTAATGTTTTATACATTTTGGGGGAGGGGATGACTAACTTTAGTGATCGCCTTCAAAGCTCAGGCAGCACTTCCAGAAAAATCAGGGCTGCATTGTGTGAGTGAACCCTGGACAGGCTCATGACCCGCGTGTGGCCTCTTGGTTGATAGGCCGCGGAGAAGGCTGCCTTGATGCGCATGCGCTAATTGGCAGATTTGGTGGTGAACTGTGCAGCACCCTGTGCAGTGCGTTGTTTGATGATGCAGCTATGTCAGAGAATCCAACAGCCAGCTAGTCCAGGAAATGTGTGTTTTCAAGCATGTCAAGCCAAGGCAAATATTAAACGATGTCACAACATTACCTCTTTGAATAGGACTAGAATGATATTCGTGATTTCTTCAGTGACCGGCCTCACGTTTGGTGATCGTGAACCACCTCGTACCTCACCAGTGAGGTGCTGTGAGCTTTCCTACTGTCAGTGTGAACATGGTGAACCATGTTTGCTCTCTTAACCAAGAATTTGTCAACAAGGACATGGCAAGCACAGAATTTCAAGCATGAAATAGCTAAACCATGCTAAACCCGACATTCGTGCTTTGCTTCATTCACCTTTGCTTCATTCGTCCCGTCCCGTTCCGTCCGGCACCACTCGCGCTCGTGAGACCGGACCAGTTGGACCAGTACCTCCGGTGACGTCAGGTGGTGCGATGCGAGGCGGTCGTGGACGCGGTTCAGCGGTTGGCTCCTTTTTCTGCGATTGGCAGGTCGAAAAAGAAGTCGAACACACGTTACCTTTGGTAACAGTTTCGATGAAGATCCGTGCATCTGTCGAGCAAAAGCTGACCAAATATCATGGTTAGCATGTGCTGGGCTGGGACATCTGAAAAGCTCCTTTCTGCACATGCGTGCTGCATCTCATGAGATCCTGACAACTGCCCTGTATGCTTTTGAGCACAATGCTGCCATGTTCTCGCCTCATTTTTAATGAGGTGTTGGAAGAAATTCTCCGTGCGTCATGTAGGCCATGAAAAGCTCAGCACAGTCATCGGGCATCCAATGGCATCCAAAAGCCATGGCAGCCTGCAAGGATGCCATGAACAAGTGTCCAGAAATTCTTGTGTAAAACATTGTAAAACTGGGTGCATGTGCTTTAAAAGGGTCATGGATGCACGTCTTTGCACAACATCTTCAATGGTCGCTGGGTCGAAACATGCTGGTATCCTTCATAGATTCATTCAGCATCGACAAGCAGCGACGGCCTAAGGAGATCTTGGCCAATTCACGATGTACCCAAGGGCTGACCTTGGAATGCGGCTCAAAGCTGTGCAGCGACTTCATGGTTCTCAAAACATGTGGATCAGTTTCCCCTCAAAAGGTTCTCAGTACCAAATCAAAGCATGCGAAGGGTTCTTCTGCATCACTACTACTCAATGTCAAGCTATGACGGCTTCTTCCTACCCACCTCTTCCCTTTCAGATCTGCAACACCTATTTTTGTCAAGTGGCTGGTTTGTTGCTTGGAGAGCTTGTCTAAAATGGTCAGCAAGCGCGACTGGTTGGACAAATTTACCACCTTCGGATGAAAGCACATGGACAGCAAAGTGAAGGCTTTTCAGTGATGGTGAACCACTGCAATCACTGGAACGTTTGGAGCGTGCTGAGCATGCTCATAAGTACAGTAATAAGTGAGTTCCCAAGCCAATTGCAATGCAATCGTGAAAGGGCAAAAAATCAGGGAAGGCGAGCAAATAAAGTTTGGAGCTGGCTCAACACTTGCAGTATGGCCTGGAAGGTGTTCAATTTCTCGGACATGGACTGCAGGGACATTTGGGCCGAGACCTCAGCATAGTATTAGCGAACTTTGGAAGTTTAGAACTTGGAACACATTTTTGAGAGAAAGCATGAGAAAGTCAGTAGGGATCGCAAAAATGTGCCCAAGGTGCGCCTTAGTCACGGCTTTGTGAAGCTACAAAAGCTTCCCGTGACTTCTGAGGCCATGACAATGTCAGACTTCTGCAAGTCACCTCTCAACCTCACACGACTCAGTCACAAAAAAGACACTACTGCACATCAAAACCAGCAAACGCTGCAAGTCACTGAATACCCCTATATCATCCAAACATCCAAAGTCCAAAGTGTTGCAACCAAGCGAACTTGGTTGTTGAAACTTGGCTCAAACTTGGCTGCCCACCTCATCAGCCCTTGCCTGAAAGCTGCCCAGGACAAGAAGACAGATTGGCTCCAAAGTGCAACTGACTTATCAGAGACGGGTCGAGACGCTGAACATGAATTGGAACGTCACCAAGACTTAGCCAAGAGACACGAGCTCAGAGACACTCAACTGGCCATCTGCATCTGCACCAAAGGCTTCGAAAATTCCCGGGCGTGCTTCTAGCTCAATGTCCAGATCCTCAGTGGAAAAGTGTCCGATGGACCGTGCGTTCCCCAAGGACCACGGCTGAGCCCACGATTTTGCAGCCCAGTCACATCAAGCAAATTCCTCACCCTTGGCAGGCAATCGGCCGCAGTGACAAACCAATTTGCGGGAGAGCGTTCAAAGGCAATCAAAGACTGTACCAATGCAACATCCATTGGAGAGGAATGCATCGTTGGTACTGTTCCAGCCACAGTAAAGGATCACCGACAAATGCAACCCTGCTGCTTGCCATTCTGGAGAACTTGCGAGAATTCCTGCTCCGACAATGTCAATTCCTCTTCTGCAGCTTCACCTGCAGTAGGCGTTGTTCATTCTTCAAGGCTTCAATCTTAGTGAAACTAGCCATGATGCAATATCATGCCATGCGCAACGCGCACGATCTCTGCAATCCTTCTACAGCAGCCCTCTCTCTCTCTCTCTCTCGCTGGTTGGTGGTTTCTGAGGCTCCCAGCTGACTTTCATTGAGCCAGATCGCAGAAAGGTCTTTTTGAAGGACCAATTGCCCTTGCTATTGCGCGGCTCGTCGTCGATATCAGCTTCTCGCATTTCCCTGCGCAAACTGGACAGTCAGAAATCCTGTACAGCTCATCTGCCACTCTTTCCACATCAAGGGGTGAACAAATTTCGTTGTATATATACACACACAGCTCTGCTGGAAGCAAGTAGTAGTTCTTCTATTGGGGTCACATCTCCCAGGCCTCACAGTCTTGGCAACTCGAACGACCTCGGTGGTCTGACCACTTGTCTTGTGCATTCCTTTTCTCTTCATATGGAAACCTGGAAAATTGGAAGAAGCATCATTTCTGACCTGTTTGCCACTCCAGGCTCAGAAGATTGCTGTTGGATCAATAAGGCACTAAGGTCAGTCGGTCAAGCCAGCGCGGTCGAACTCCGAATTCTACCTCCGCCCCAATTCTGGTCTCCCGTTTCCCCCAAACATCGGCACCGGTCGACCGAGACCGACCGGAGGAACCGACCCGACCGGAGGATCCGACCGGCGCGTCGCGACCGTCGACACGTGCGTGTCTTCGGCCCGGAGGCTAAGTCGTTCAGCTTCCGCGTCACGTAGTTGGTCTCGTGCCTCGGAGAAGGACGAGACCGGTGGTTCCGATAACGGCTTTGGTCAAAGAGGATCCCACAGGTTCCACGCAGGATCCCGGCAGGCTTGGTGGCCAAATAGGTTTGTATATATATATATATAGATGTTAAGATTCATGCAGTAATTAGAGGGACATCAGTTCAAACACTTCATGAAATTCACCAACCTCGTCAACATTGAGGTAGCCAAGCGCTTTCGCGCTCTTTCGCCAAGTGACAATTTGGCGTGCTTTCTCTGCACCTTCAGAATCAGCTGCTTGCGAGGAGAACTGAACAGGTGACAAAAGATAGAACTGGTGAACTGAGTATGAAAACACCAACGGTCGCCCAATCAGCAGAATTTGTAAGGCTAGCACATCATTGTACTTGAGGCCAGACAGGGTCGCATCCACGAACATGGCCTCAGCTAGGACGCCAAGCAGCTCGAGGCCATGCGTTGGTAGCAAAGCAGCTCGAGCGGTATGATATTGCAAAGAAGGGACTGTGATGATGTTGGTCATTCCAAAGATCATACAAACCATGCTGAGCCCGTAGAACCTCGGAACGAACCGACCATTAAAATTGGTTGCAGGTTCTCACTCTTCTGACGTTCCTCTCACTCAGGCATTGCCAAGGCAGGAGCCATTCAAACCTCCAACCATAAAAATAGCTGAATATGGCTGCCAGTGGCCGCCCACCTACAGTAACCAACGTGAACAGGACATGATGAATGTGAAGTCGCCATGTTTCAGACTCTGAGCACTTCACCCTTAGTATTGCAATCACCAATGATGCATCGGAAGACCTGAAGGTCAGGGTGTGAAGAGTCTGAAGAGTCACCGTGTCATACTAAAAGGCTAGTAGCGTCCGATCGCTCCTAGTAGTAAGGCCAGGAGCCCCTAGTAGCTTCTTGCTCCTAGCAGCGAGGCCAGGAGCCCCTAGTAGCGTCCTTGCTCCTGATGCATTGTTTGTTGGAATGCTTGGGCTCCAGACCGTGAACATGCACTTCAAGACAGTTCCGCAATATTCTTCTCCATACATGTAGGCAACATTGCAACCATCTTCGCCAGTATGGTTGAACTGAAAGAGATCTGGATCTCCACACCTCCGCCAGCAGGAGTTGCGTTGGTGCCAATGCTTAACCTCTGTAGTGGCAACATGTGGCAACCACAAATCATCCATGGCCCCCCACCAACCTGTCCGACATCTCAGCAGACGCATTGCTCACCGTGCTCCGCAGAACAATGCCACAAATGTAGAGTACTCCACCTCATGGCTGTCGTGAATCTGTGTTTGTCCCACCAAAGCATAGGTATTAAACTCAAGTAGTACGTACACTGGGCATGTTGTAGAGGAAGCTATTGGTCCATCCCTGAACCGTTTGCGATGTGCGACAGGAGACAAGAATCTAGCAGCTGTCCACCTTTGCGGCTAAGGTCCTTCTGTGCATAGAAATGGCTAAGGTCCTTGTGCCGAAATCTTCAGCCCCAATTCCAGCTCAAGGAGCTTAGCAGGATGGTGACCCAAAAGAGCCATGGAACTCCTATCACCATCGCCTCAGCAGTATCAGAGGGGGTGGTCCACTTGAGTCATCACATGAAATCATATACAAGAACTGATAAACAAACTCGGTACCGCTTCCTCTACCCTAGAGTGATTTGAATGCCATCTTTCTCAGATGTCTTAGCCAAATTGCTGAGATCATATTGGCCAACTCGGCAAGCAAGGGCAAGTTCATCAACTGCAAGCGAGCTGGTGGGTCAGCAAGAGATGCTGTCATCATCTGCGTGATCCACATGGTGGGGGAATGCCCCGCATTCGACTGCGAACATGACCTACAAAGCTACCAGGAGCAAAGAAGCTACTAGGGGCTCCTGGCATCGCTACTAGGAGCAAGGACGCTACTAGGAGCAAAGGGCATCGCTACTAGGAACAAGGAGGCTACTAGGAGCAAAGGGCATCGCTACTAGGAACAAGGAGGCTACCAGGAGCAAAGGGCATCGCTACTGCTAGGGTTCCTGGTGCTTGGACATCCCCCCGTGCATTGGTTGATGCCGTGGCTCCATTACTAAGGTCTTTGTGGACGAGTATGCTGTAATTCGGCACAGGAGGAGGCAATGGAGAAAGAGGGATTTCATAGACAAAGCTGCTAGTAACAAGGGCATCGCTACTAGTAGCGATGCACTTGTTTGCACCTAAGCTACTAGTAACATCTAGTAACAAGGAATCAACTGGTGGTTTTGACAATCAGGCGTGCTGAACTGTTAACGCCAAAGCCTTGATGAGGCGTGCTACTCGAGACAAGCGCAAGCCTCTCAAGACCATGCCTCAGTCAATAGCTCATGTGCCAATGAATAGCTCAAGTCTAAGAGCTTTCTGCGAACTGCTCAACAGCCCAGCAAAACAGACTTGGGGTTGTTTGCTTTGAATGCCAAAATGCTCATCCTTGCGGAGCCAGCTGTGGATGCAGTGGTACTGATGATCACATCTACCACTGCAACGCCCGTCAGCATCAGGTCGCCTTGTAGGCAGTTGACCAAGTCTATCTGCAAAAAGCTCTGAGTTCTCCAAAGTAGAGGGGAAGCTTCACAAGCAACCAACCACCTACCTGACCTACCCAACTTGAAGGTTCGTAGATATTTTTCAAATTCCCACGTCACTTGAAGCCACTTGAGTCCACGAGGCCACTCCCACTTCTGAAACCAAACACGATCCACCTCTTGCTGGCTGGGCTCCAATATTCCATGCATAGTTGGTACCAGTGAAGTAGACTCGTGGGGAGAGCAGCACCAACTTTACGACCACCTCAATGACAAAAACCTCAGGCGTGGCGTGTTTCCAGGAACTCGGAGCATGTGGGTTGCGAAGGATGGAATGAGATCTCAACCAGAGAGATGTCATCTGGGCAAGACTCAAAAGTCAGATGCTGCTGCTACCGTGTGCCTCATACCTCCATTGTTTCAAATGTCTACGGTCTAAGGCTTCAAAGTAAATGTCAAGTAGCTTGACATTGTGGGTTCACTACGACTGTTTGTGCTAGGCCTCCCGGCCACCGCAAAAATAACTTCAAGTACGGTCCAGCCAACCCACCCGGGCTGCAGGTCCATGCTAAATCCTGCAAAGAAACTTATGCGGGGATCAAGGTAGCATCTTGTTGGAACTTTCACATGTTTATGCAAATAATGCACAAGTCACAAATACCCAATGTCTTCTCGCATATTGCGGTGCGGTGTGGTGGGCTTGATTGAAAGGCCTCTGTATGTTGCCAAAGTATCCCTTGTTGAGGGGTCGGGTGGCTATCAGTGCGGCATCCCCAATCGCTGGTCGACTGGACTTCAGTTCAGTCCGAAGGTCTTAGCTTCGAACCTCAATATGACAACGGCCTCCGCCCCAATAGCGATGGCCTCCAACCTACTAGCGACGGCCTCCACAATATGACTCTCTGAGATGCTTCTCTCTTTGAGTCCTTGTCCCTCTTCTGCTGCTGCTTAGTGTGGATTGGAGAGTGTTGATTTGGGTTCTTCATGTTTGGCTGGGAAAGCATTCCCAAGAAAGACAAGGAAAAGACTTGGAGTCATGCATACAGCATACAGGTGTAGGGATGTGTGTGTGTGTGTGTACACAGGCTGCAACAAGCCGCCTGTCAGGGAGCTTCAATACACACCACGGAGCAAAGATCACCAAATGGCAGTCTCCTAGAATGATGAGGCTCATCATGATGCTGACACTCGCCTAAGATGAAGGCAAAAGTTACTAAAGTTACTGCAAGCAGCTCGATAGGCTGTTGAAATGGCTACAGTAGACTGATCATCGCTTATTCTTGGCGGCGAAATCTCACACATGTCATTCAAGGGACGTCTTGGAGACGGTCAACCCAAAAAAACGGTCTACGCGAGAGTTGCTCCAGCCCAAGGCAGCCAAGAAACAATTCCATTGACCACCATGAGGATCCTTTCTCGGCAGGTCCGCGTCTGCATGCAGGAATGAGCTCTCCCAACAGTCCAAACATCTAATCAAGGAAATGAAAGAAAGAGTTCAAAAAACAGCCCGCTGCCTGAGTCAAGTGAAAGCTTGACCGCATCATTTTCAGCTTGAACATCTGAGGGCACAGCTGGTCAAAAAAGAAGCCCAAAAGTGATGTCATGTGTCCGTGAATTGCTTCAAAAGCAAGAGACACCTGAAACAACCCTCAAAGCAGAAAGAGGAAACTAAACAAATGCTGTTGAAATGGAATCTACACAGCAACAGGTTGGCACAATGTGTAGGGAGTATAGGGCTTTCTCTATAAAGGATACCAAAGCAAAGTCCAAGCATTACCACCAAAAGTCACAAAGCAAAACAAATCTCCACATCGCACCAATCTGGACCTCATAGCCACTCTGCTGAACGCGCGGATCGCGAAGCGTAGAGTGCACATGGAACATCTCCTGCATTGAAGTCAAGGCCTTGTTCAACTCTTTGGTTTGCTTCACAAGACTTTTCACGATCCCCTCAGCGCCAAAACTGGCGAATTGTCCCGGGTGCACTCAAAGTGTTTGCCGCCAAGGAAACTGACCGTATTGATGTGTTTTGCAACGGCCCAAAGAGTCCCAAGACTGAGTGAACAACAGGTTGTGATGATTCCCAGTATCCCTGAAAATCTCCTCTGCCATTTCAACACGAGCCTGGCGACCCAGGCCACAAGGACAGGTTTGATGATGAGTGTAGTGGACAAATCTGCACGCACAAGACACAATATCCTAATTAACTACAAATATATGTATACAAACACAAAGTTATATTTAGTTATATATGATTTAATACGTGCGCTCATACGTCAATGATATGCCGTTTCATCACGGATCCGAATCTTAAATCAAATCAACAGGCGTGGGACGGTCAACGGAAATGTGCTCAGCAATGTGTGTAGAAGATAAAACTCGACCGACTGCTTACCAAGGTTCTAAGGGCCTCACCATGCAGGATTCTAAGGGCCCTTTTGTTGGGGTACTGCACAAAATTTGTTGCGAGATGTTGCGAGCACAAAAGAATTCTAGTCTGCAGCCGTCTACCTCTTGAATGTCCCAATACTTCTTGATTCCCCCATCCAGGCGCAGGGTCCCCTCCCTTTTCGCAACCTAGAAGTTTCGCGCACTTCCCGAAAGACCTATATACTATCATTTCCATATTACATTTCTGTCCAAGGTTGACTCTCGTAGCTACGGTAGTCAGCACACACCTCCTTTTTCTCAAGTCGTCTTGCCAGTATGGTCTTCAACCTGCCATGTCCAGCAGGATAATTGCGTTGGGTTACCTGCATCAGCAGGCCTGACACAATCAGACCCTTGTGGTATCCTTCCGGTCACTCCGGAAACCACTCCCCCCCTGGGGTACTTAAAAAGTGGTGGGAGTGATTCCATATCAGGAAGGGCCAACTCCCATCGGGAAGATTGATATCGGCCACAGTGAAGGCTGAGCTGAGGGCAGCCAATGGGACAATCACAAACCAATGAAAATGTTGTGACAACTTGGGCGTCTGCTGGGCGCAAAGGCCACAGGGTGTGACAAAGTTGAGGGGCCTGAGGTTACGAGGGTGATCCGGGGTGTTGCTGGGCTTCGTCAACCAGACGAGCCAGCTGTCCTTCCGAGAGGATGGAGGAAGGAACGGAACGTCTGAGCTTCACCAAAGTCGCAGCAGTTCAAACAATTTCAATGCAATGGTGTCTGCGAGTGGACCGAATGCCTCTCCACGCTTGGTTCCACTTCAACTTTCTGATGGCTTGATGCAGTTGGTCCACTGTGAAAGGCATATGGGTCACAGGCAATGGAGTCTCACTCCAGGAGGTCACCCGTGGTCAATTGCGCAGTCCCCGCTCAGGCCGCGGAGCGTTTCATGTGGTGCGGACAAACTGCACTAAGGCAGCATGTGACTCCACAGGACCCAGAGGTTGGCCATGACAGTCTCTAAGTTGAATAGGTCGACGAACAGCTTTGGTGAAGCTTTAGGAAGTCACAGTATTGCCGCCGCACTCTAAAGATGCCTTTACAAGTATGATCTGCATGATTTCTGATTTGGTGCCAAAGGGCCCATTTCTGTTGAACAGCACTTTCTTGGAATTGCCAAGCAGGTGTGGAATGGCCTGCTGGTGGAAACGAGTCAGCAAATGCGGTCACTCCGCTAGATTGTGCCAGATCGCAGATCCCTGCGCAAGCCCCAGGCTAGCCGGCTAGCCCTTCAAGGGTGAGGGTAACCCCACCGGGGGCCCTTACACCAGGGTGGGCTGGGTGGGAAAAAGAGAGAACAAACGCTATTTTGGCCAAGTCACTTGAGCCAAAACATTCGTTGGTTCAAACCTATGGCAGTAATGAATACATGTTCACCCAAGCCTGCCAGACCTGAAACATGTTTACATTTCTGTCCAAGGTTGACTCTCGTAGCTACGGTAGTCAGCACACACCTCCTTTTTCTCAAGTCGTCTTGCCAGTATGGTCTTCAACCTGCCATGTCCAGCAGGATAATTGCGTTGGGTTGCCTGCATCAGCAGGCCTGACACAATCAGACCCTTGTGGTATCCTTCCGGTCACTCCGGAAACCACTCCCAATGCACTTCAAATTCTCCCAACGCACTTAGAGAAATTCCATGACTCGGATCACTGCTGGCAGTGGAAGGTGCCAGAGGCAGAATGGGCAAGAGACGGAAAAAGGGGTGAATCCGTTAGTTCGCCACCACGGATCGGACCAACCTAATCTTGAAATGGCGTCAGCCCAATTACTCTTAGAAGGAATGTATTCCCAATACATCCAGGTGCGCAAGGCGTACAACATCACGTGAATCAAACCGCACATGCGCTCAAGATCGGGTGACTGGGAACGGCCCCGGATCAGACACATGAGGCTAGCGTTATCGATCAGCCAGATGCCTCGGCGACCCCGAAAGGGCTGTGCCCGATACGTGAGGGCATAAATTATCACCACCATCTCCAACTGGGCAATCTGCCTATCGCCAGGCTCCCACAGCTGGTAAACTTCCCGAGGAATATTGGCGATGAAGGCTTCCCGAACCGGTCCCACCGGGTCATGCCATGCGATTAAAAAGCCTCCTGTGCCCTGCTTTGGTTCCTCCAAAGCCGCATCAGAAGCAACAACAAACCGCAGACACTCGGACGGCCTCACGGGGAGTTCGCGACAGGGTCGATGGAGAAGAATGGAGTGAATCACGTCAAAGTTGCGCTGAAGCTCTGGGGTGAGGTCACGGTTGCGTTCCGTCTGACGTGCTTTGATGGCTGCCAAGCCTGCGCAACCCAACCTTCCGTACATGCCCTGCTCAAGAAAATTGAGCATGCCGTAGAGCTTGGACGCCTGGCCTGAGGACAGACTATTGTGTGCCTGAGCTTCGGTAATCATCGCAGCTGTCTTCTGAATCAATCTATCTCGGGCCCAAAACGTTACGAAGCCGCGGCCCAGATTCGTGAAGTCGTGATCGAGGCCCAGGAAGGTTCCGGTCGGCTGCATCAACTGTTTCTTCTCCTCGGCGAACGGGGTGCCTAGGAGGGAGTTCAACTGGCAAAAAGCTTGTTGGCTGGAGCCGAATCCTGACTGAAGATCCGTGATGTGAGCATCATCAAAATAAAGCGACACCAGACTGTAGGTAAGCCGTCGCCCCAGGGCCTCGATGAAGCGGGAATACCGATTGAACGACGTCACTGCGAGCGGAAGGCCGAAGAGGAGTGATGAATACACCTGAAAGGCGGGTTCCTCCCGCTCGGCATGCCAAAAACAGACGATACAGCCTCGGCTCTCCTCCCGACTGATTGGGGAATGACGGTATAGGCGTTGGGCCAGTCTTCGCCTCCTGATAGCCACGCGTCGTCAGTCGTCAGAGTCTGCCACTGGTCGTCCGTCAGAAGCGAGGCCACCGCCCCCACATGTTGCGCCGGCCGCAATGGCGAGCACAAGACCAACTTGTTCCAATCCGAGGATCGCTCAGACTGGCCGCCTGTATCTCCATTGTCAATGATCCGCTTCTTGCCCGACGATTGCACGATCACACATCTGGGGATCAGGCGGAATGGTTCGCCTCGCAGTTCTCGCAGGAGCTGCGTGTGGGTCAACGGTGTAGAGCAGAAACCCTGGGCGGCATCGTTCAGCGATTGTTCAAGCAGCACTGCATCATGTCTGCCGGGTTTGAGCGAGGCGATGGTCTTGTAGTTGTGGGTCTCCCAATCATCGAGCACGTCCTCCATGGTGAGGGTGCGACCTGGCTGCTCTGGAAAGACCCCGTAGGGTGGGGCTGTGCCCACAGCTGGCAGTCCCGCTACCAAACCGTGAGGGTACGTGATATCCGCCCAGGAAGTCAGAGTCACCAAGAGGGCCGTCAGGCCGATGTCCCGGGAACGGGTGACTGCTCGAATCGCTGATGTTTGGAAGGTCTTCAGACGCTCGCCCACGCTCTGCCATCGCTGCTTCAGCTCTCTCAAGATGCCTAGGCTCTGCTCGCGAAGTCGTGGTAGGTCCTTGGGACGTGATGCATAGAGTTCGGCCACAAACCAAAGGTCATCGTCCAGGAGGGGCGATTGCTCGGTTGGTATTGGTACCTGGCTGCGAAGGCAAGCTCGCTGGAAATGGGTATCAGGGTCCAGCCCAAAACTCAAAAGTGGAGGTAGGGCGGCTTTATGACTCAAAGCTCCTGCTTGCTGGCCTTCGGCATGGCGCTGTCGCTGCCTCAAAGCTGCGCTGGCCAAATGTGGTCCCAGGGGTCCGTCTGCTTTGAGATCATGCTGGTTCCTCCAGCGTGGAAACTCGCAGAACGGTGCTTGGTTCAGGAGGTCTTCGATCATCGGGAACTTGAAGTCTTGGAACCACTGGCCTGGGAAGAGGCGGCGGAATCTTGGGTGAATAGGCCAACTCGAGCTGGGATGCTCGCAGCAACTCCTCTGCTTGAGACGACCCCCAACCGCAGCGCCCGAGATGCCATCGAGTGATGCCTCTGGGCTTGCCCGCCTGCCGCTGCCAGATAGCGAGGTGCTTCCGGGGCTGTGGCGTCAAAAACCAGGCCCGCGAGTGCATCCGCTTCGCAAATGTCGCTATCGCGCGGGCAATCACATGCTAAGGTGCATCCTGCTAGCTCTGGGAGCTCCGCCGCCTTGGACGACATGATGAACTCAACATAACAGGGGAGCCATTCATCTGCGGTGCAATCATGTCCTGGGGTGTACGGAGAGCACCATTTCGACAGGGGCAACTTGTGACTGTGATGCCCTCGCCCCACGTAGATGCACTTGGAGGGAAGTTTTCCATCCACTAACAGGTCAACAACTCGGCGCACGCGAGGCACCCGTGCACGCTCGCGAGGATCGACTGGTCGCAGACCCAGCTGAATCGCCAAGGGGGTCATAGCCCAACTGCGCATCGAGCGAGGATCATAGTGAAGCCAGTGCTCACGGCGGCCCACAG